TGAGATATATAAAACATGCAACTAAATTTATATTTCAGATTTTGGTCCTCTTACCACTAAGTAACTTTTATGGTTTGGCGTATGACCTTGCTGTGTCTATAGAGTATGTTTTCTCTTGTCCAATAGATGCTGCCTCCAAAATCTCACTTGAGTCACTTCTCTTGTCTACTTTTGTTCATGCTGCCAACATCCTTTGCACTGCATCAGTAAACTTGTAACTGGTCTCAGCCTTTCTCATCTTTTCTCACAGTAGCCACAGTGATTTTCATAAAATGAAAGTCAAATTATATCACTCCCCTGCTGACTTTTCAAGGGTTTTTCACTGATCACTGAACCTACATACAGCTCCTAAAAAATTATTATCCAGTCTTTGATCAGAACTTATCATTTTCCTTTCACTACTGACCCCATTTGACTTTCAGGTCCTTTGAACTTTTATCATGCCTTAAAGAATATGATAAAAACCCTGCTGTGTGGCTTTTGCACCTTCTCTTTCTTTGGTTTGGATCATGGATGAAAAATATTCTTCCATTAAGTGTTTATGTGTCCACCTCCTTTCTATCTTTTTGATGCAGCCTAATTGTCCCTCTCTCGGGGGCGTTTCTTGACTCTCCTTCCCCACCCTATAATTTCTCTGGAGAATCCTAATATAATCTCCTCAAACACCAAAACAAAACTTTTCCCCAGCTATATTGTCTCCTGGAACTCCATACTTTATGTCTGAGCAAGTCATTGGACTAGACCACCAAAGCCTCTTGTTCCACCTGTCTTTCCCTTAGATCAGCTAGGTTCTCTGGCTCTAACTGCTTTTTCCTTAGACCAAGAATCTTGAAGTCTCAAATATTCAAAGAAGAGAGGGCCCTCAGGGAACCTGGCAGGTTACATAAGCGAGGGGGCACAGACAGTGAGGGAACACACTTTAGCTATTCATTGTCAGAATGTGCTAGATTTATTTTTTTAAAGAGACCAGGAATTCAGATTTTCATATGTGACCTTATCTCACTTAGAATCCAGAAACAGCCAAAATAAATCAAAAAAACAAAGTTGGAGATCTCACCTTGTTGATTTAAAAAATAGTAAGTCATGGTAATCACAACATTGTGATACTGGCAAAAAAACTGGCATAAAGATCAAAGAATAAAATAGAAATTACAGAGATAAACTCTTGCATATATGATCAAATGATTTTCAGCAAGAATGAAAGGGCCATTTAATGAGGATAGAGCAGTCTTTCCAATTGGAAAACTGGATATCCATATTGAAAAGAAAAAAGTTGAACCCTTACACAGTGTGAAAATCTAAAGGTAAGACCCAAATTATAAAATTTTTAGAAAACAAACTTTAGGTCAGATTTGCCAATGATTTTTTGGTTATGACACCAAAAGCACAGACAGAAAAATTATGTATATATATATATATATATGTTTTTGGCACTAGGGATCGAATTCATGACTTTGCGCTTGCCAGGTAGGCACTTAGGCCACTGAGCTAAATCCCCAGCCCCGACCGCAAAATTACAGATACATTGGACTACATAAAAATAAATCCTGTGTATCTAAGGATACTCTCTACACAGTGAAAAGACAACCTGAAAAATGGGAAAAAATATTTGCAAATCTTATATCTAATCAGAAGTTAATATCCAGAATATGTAAAGACATGACATCAGCAGCAGCAACAACAACAAGAAGAACTAACCTATTAAAAATAACCAAAGGGGGCTGGGGGAATAGCTCAGTGGTACAGCGCCTGCCTGGCAAGCTGCTCAAGGTCCAGAGATCAGTTTTTGGTACAAAAAAAAGCAAAGAGCTTGAATAGACATCTCTCTAAGAAGATATGTAAACGGAAAAGGAGCATATAAAAAGACCAATATCACTAATCAATAGGGAAATGGAAATCAAAAACACAGAACTGTGTCATAGCTCAGGCCAGCACCTGGGAGGCCGAGGCATAAAAATCTGGAGTTCAAGGCCAGCCTGAGCTACATAACCAGACACTTCCTTTAAAAACAAAACAAAACCAGCCAAGTATGGTAGCTCAAGCCTGTAATCCCAGGACTGGGGAGGCTGAGGCAGGAGGATCGTTGTGAGTTCGAGACCAGCATAGGCTACAAAGTGAGCTCAAGGCCAGCCTGAACTGCACAGCAAGACCCTGTCTCAAAAAGACAAAACAAAACAAAACCACCAACCAACCAACCAACCAATAACATAACCCCCAGCCCCCTAAATCCACAGTAAGGTATTTATTATCTCATTGTGGACGAGAATGGCCAATGTCAGAATCAAACCTAACCCAATCCAACCCAACTCAAAACCAAACCAAATCAAACCAAAACCAATCAACCAATCAAAACCCAAGTAACAAATATTAGCAAGCATGTGTATTGGGTCCTGTCCTAGAGCCCTGATCTCCCAAACGAGTGTACAGTGGAGGTTAAATAAAATAAAGACAAATCATATGCTTTTTAGGGCTCTAGGAGGGTCAAAACCCTTTAATTAAGCTCGAGGCTTCGAGGGAAAAGACAAAAGGATTTTCTGGGTCAGTCCACTATATTAGGACCAAGGACAAAGGGCGGAGAAACTGAGGGAAGTGCAGGCAATGAGCAGGACCTTGGGAGTCACCTCAAGGACGCCTCCAAATAATGAATCAAGTCAACTTAGTAGCACTGTCTTATCATGAAGACATGGTAGAAGTGAGACTGTAGGAGTAATCTTTGCAGCTGCAGTCTCTACCTAGTTAATTGGGGTTGGAGCCAAGTGTCTGTACCTGAGGCCTTATCTTGCCCTTTGAGGTATCTCTGGCCTCACAGGCTACTACAGGCCTCAGCCAGGACCAGTATTCATACAGGTTCACTTACTATGAATCAGCTCCCATCATCAGGCAAGGGGCCTAAGCCTAGGACAGACTCACAGATAAACATAGAAAGCCAATTAGTAAAATTTAAATCCTGCTCAGAGCTGCTTTGTAGTGGTCTCCAACACATGTGGAAAATTGGAGCCCTTGTGCACTATTGGTGGGAATGTAAAATGACCACTGCTGTGAAAAATACTATGGCAGTTCTAAACAGTATTAAAAATAGAATTATCATAAAACTCAGAAATTTCACTTTTGTGTTTATTCAGCATAATTGAAAAGCAAGATTTTAAAATGGTACTTGTACATCCATTTTTGCAAAAATATTATTTATAGTATGACTATGCAATGGAGTATCATTCACCCTTAAAAAGAGAGCACTAACCAATTGTGATGGCACATCTGTGACCCTAGTCACTGGGGAGGCTGAGGCAGGAGGCTCAGAAGCTGAAGGTCAACCTGGGAAACTTAATACTTGGGTTCAAAATAAAGAAGAACTGGGGATATAACAGCACTAGAGTGCTTGCCTAGCATGCGTGAGAGCCTCAGTACCACAAAAAAGAGAAACAAGTTCTGACACGTGCTACAGTGACTGAAACTATAAATTTAAGGATATTAAATTGAAATAAATCAGTCACAGAAATATTGTATGGATTTACTGAGATGAAATTTGTAGTGGTCAAACTCATGAAATGGAAAATAGGATAGTGGGGTTCAGGGATAGGGGAGGGAAAGAAGGAGTTGTAAGAGTTTAATTTTGCAAGTTCTGGAGATTATTTGCACAACTGTATGAAGTGAGTGAGTCTTCAAAAATTTTGTATTTGAGACAGGGTCTCACTAGGTAGTTCAGGCTGACCTTCTACACAGTATGTAACCCAAACTGACCTCAAACTCACGGTGATCCCAAACTGATCACCAAACTCACCATTTGGTGAGATTTACAGGCATAAACCAACATGCTTGGCTTGAAGTCGGTGAAAGTCTTAATTGCCTTTCTTTTGCCTTGTGGCTTGTGCCATGTGACTTTGCCTTTGTGGTAAATGATATACTATAAACAATGGGCCAGACCTAACCAGCCAGACATGAAAACTGCTCAATTTTGCATATTAAATGTAATTCAATTAAAATGATCCCATCCAATTTTCAGATGTAAGACACACAAGGGCAGACCAGGTAGAAACAATCTAAAAACTGGTTAATTCTGAGGTAAAGACAAAACTGATTAGGTCACTAAACTACCTCTTACACAGAACCACATTTCCTCAGCCTTGAGGCTGTGTGGCTGCTGAGACGCTTCCTATGCTTCCTTACTTCTTGGTGGGATCCTTAAATAAACCTGTACCTTCTTTGCTAACAACAGCAAGTCTCTGTTTCCTGGAGGAGCCTCTCATCATTTGATAGCTACGGTAACTCCATCATGTATTGGAGCCTCTGCTTTTTCATGGAAGTAAACAGTATTCCATTTTGATCAAGAAATGGGACTCCGTAAGCTGTTACTTTTGCATTTGAGAAAACTTCTATGATTTTATTAGTGAGGATGAAAAGATGCTTTTGAAAAACTGCAATACAATTATTAGTAAAACGTCCAGGAACTGTTTTAAAAGCGGTACACATATATCACTGGGCTTCCTTCTGCTTTTCTCCTCGATTGTCCCTTCATTAAGTGAAGATACTACTGAAAAAACCTTAGCAGGTTTCCTTCTGCTTCGTTCCTCTCCAGTCTTTCCCTCCCCATAAAGGAAGAAAGCCGACTGTAGTTTAGAAAGAAGCGGCATAGCTCCAGCAGTTCCAATCCGCAGTTTAAAAGATGTCGTAAATGTAGTAAGCCTGTTCTTAACGAATGCCAAGAAGGCCGCAAGGGATTATTGCCTGATGTCTCCCAACTAGGACTGAGGCAGTGACAGATGAGCAGCCCTGCTGCAGGGAGATACTCAGAGGTCTTACTTGTTGAGATAACTGCCAGGAATTCTGCGAGGTACATACAGAGACCAATGGTTTTAGCCAATACTCAGGGACACATTGGTGACGTCACCGACGGCGCGCCGAGGCGCATCATGACGTCCTTCGGAGGCGCCAGAAAGAGCTCGCAGATGGAGTAAAGTAAGTGTACGGGTCTGTTACCTAGAGGTAAGGCGGTGGTCGGCCTACCTCGATTGTTGGAGGTCTGAGTTGAAAGCCAGTGTGGGCGTTAGGACCAGGTTACCGGTATCCGTGAGTTATGTGCTTGGAATGACACTCTCACGTCTTGTTTCTTGGCACCCGCACACACTGGTCTCTCTCCTGCTTCGAGTTTGTCGTTACTCCTTGTACCTATCTTGGTTATAACCACGCAGAAGCGGGCACTCCTTCCCAAGGGGGCAGCTCACCTTGAGGGTAATGGTGATTTTTTTGTTTGTATTTTTTGTTTTTCGAGACAGGCTCTCACTACACAGTTTAGGCTGGTCTACAGCTCACTTTATAGCCCAGGCTGGTTTTTAATTTGCAACGATCCTCCCCTTACCCTGGGATTAAGGCGTGAACCACCACGCCCGGCTAGCGATGGTTTTTTTTTTTCCCCAGAAACATTCCATGGGAAGAATTTGAGGTTTCTTCACAGTGTCAAACCAGTCTTTTTAAAAACTTTGTATTTTGGAGCCAGGGATTTAGCTCAGTGGTGTAAGCACCAGCTTGGAAAGCACAAGATTGTGAGTTTGATCCTTGGTACAAAAAAAAAAAAAAAACAAAAACAAACAAAAAAAAAAAAACAAAAAAAAAACCAAAAAAAACAAACTTTATATTTTTTTATTTGTAAATATTTGTCATACATGTTGATTTCATTTATAGTAGAAAATTTGTCCTTCTACATATCTTGATTTTTCTTTTTTTTCCATTTCTTGCCCTTCAACCTTTCTTCTCTCATTTACAAAAGTTTTGTTTCCGTTTTTCCCCTCCTATTCTTTTTTCCCTTGTCTTCTTTCATTTCCCCCTCCACCATTCCTTGTTCCCCTTCCCATCTGAACTTACAGGAATGCCAGAAGAAGCAAGCCTTTCCCCATACAGACCAGTGGAAGTGGTTCAACAAAACAGGAATATTTGGAATTCTGTTCCATTTGGAATTAATGTGATCTAGGTTAGGAGCTCTTTGGGTATCTGACTTATATGAGAATTTCGTAGAACATTTGAGGCAGGATTGTCTAGGGAGAAGATGCAGATTTGTGCCCCTTCACCTTAGTTGCAGTCATCACTTTTGGGTGATTTTTTTTGTCTTTTTCTTTTTTATTGGTACCAGGGATCGAACTCACGACCACACACTTGCAAGGCAGGTGCTTATGCCGCTGAGCTAAATCCCCAGCCCCTTTTGGGTGATTTTTTAACTTGTCAGTAGCTCCTGCTTTAATCCTACCTATTAATAGCAATGATACTGTGTTAGGATTAGGTAACTTGCTTTAGGTCACACAGTGAGTAGGTGATGGAATCAAATTTGAATTCAAGCAGCCCAATTTAAGAGGACCCGACATTCGTCACTCTTTCTTTTGGTTTTATTCAGCTGTTCATTAAATTCTAACATCAGCTTGTTATCTGTTTTTTTTTTTTTTTTTTTTTTTTTAATGCTACATTTTTTTTTGGGTCTTTTTCTTTTTTATCAGTACCAGGGATCGAACTCATGACCACACACTTGCAAGGCAGGCACTTATGCCACTGAGCTAAATCCCCAGCCCCCTGTTATCTGTTGTTTTATGGAGAACATTAAGGGCATGTACCATACTTTCCCTCAGTTTTCTGCCTTTGTTTTCCTTTTTAAAACAGCCAACTGTGTGGTCTGAAACAGGTACAAGGACAGTAGAAAAAATTTCTTCTGATGATATGTAATGGGAGAAGCCCTAAAATTCTAAAAAAGTCATTTGAATTTCACCCCTTATTTTTTTTTTTATTCTCAAGAAAGTGCGTTGTCTCTTTGATCAAAGTCATCCCTTAATTTTTGCTTCTGATTTTTATTTTATGAACTTACTTATGAAACTTGCTTTGCATTTGTCATTTTTGTTCTTGTCTGTGTTCCATTCATGAAAATACAAGGTCAGTTTCTCAGATCCTCTGTAACACTTCTGTCTCAACCAAAGAAAGAAAGTCTTTGGTGTTCCATCTTCCTTTTGCTGTTTTCTGGTAAATGTCTTCCTCTTGTTACCAAACTATTTTAAGGAGTGTTCTAAATTCTGTCCCCGTTTCTTACCTCCCATTCCTTTCTGCAGTCTAGCTTTAAGACATAATTTTCTTAAGATTTCAGTAGTGGTCCCACTGATTGAATATCAAACCAGATAGACATTTTCAATCATTTTGGAAGTTGATCATGCCTTTTACAGTCTGGCTGTTTCTCTGATGCCTCACTCACCATTTCTCCTGTGAATAGTCTTTTTCCTCTTCTTCTGGAATACTGGGTGTCTTCAGTGCTTGTGACTTTGCCCTCTGCACTTTTCATTCTGTACATATTGAGCATACCAACTACTTTTGTTTCAACTGTCTTATTACATGTTCCCAGATTGAAGTTGCCAACTTAGCCTTTTCTGAGATTCACTTTCATATCTAAATATCCTGGGTAATGTCCCATACACACTTCAAGTTCAGAGGCCTGAAACTGAACTCAAGATGCTCCTTTAACTTACTCATCCTATGCATCACTAAGTGCTAAATATTTTTCAAATCTGCTTTTATCTGTGTCCCTATCATAGTAGGCTTCCTTGTCTCTTGTAATATGTTCCAGTGGATGTCTGAGAGTGCAGGTAGTACCAAAGTCTATCTATAGCATGTCCTTTTTCCTCTGTGTTGTACCTATGGTAGAGTTTAATTTTATGTTGGGCACAGTCAGAGATTAATATCAGTAACTTACATAACTATCAGTAACAATCACAATTATAACAATATACTATAGTAAAAGTTATATAAAACTTAGGAATTATGTTTGTAATTTTCCATTTAATATTTTCAGGCTGTTTGTGGATAACTAAGACTATAGGAAATAAAACTGCAGATAACAGGTACTGCTGTATTGTTTTGCTTTAGACCCTATCATCTTTCAGCTGAAATATGTTGGCTCTCTAATTAGCTTCTCTGCTGCTATTCTGGTTAACCATATTTGTGTTCTTTATACTACTCTACCTCTGCAAATGACCTTTGGGAACAAAGATTTCAAATTCCTATTTAATCTTCAAGATTTATCTGTTCATATATCTGTTTTGTTCCTCATTCAGCAAATATTTATTGTCTGCTGAGTTGCAGAATCCATTGTAACTTCCAAAATTTGAGTTTCTTGTTTGTTACCCAGAAGTCTGCCTCACTTGGACCTTGCCTGGGTGTATAGCCTCTTTTTCTGCCCCTGTTCTAGTAGTAGAACACCACAACAGTTTATTTCTGCACACTATAATGTTTCTTCTTTGTGCATTTTCCCTTGTTGTGCCTTTGGCTCAGTAATCCTTATCTTCTCTAATTCCTTTCTCTACCTCCTTAATTAGGTTGTTCCCTTTTATCACATTAACCCAGTTTATATGTAGGACTCAATTTAGGGTCAGCTCCTCCAGGAGACCTTTCTTGACATTTCCTTTTCCCTACTTTAGGTTGGGTACTCCAGCTAGGTCTTCCCATATTAATACCCTGACCGGCGCAGCCCCCCAATGAGACAGAGGACGCTCTTGTGGGTAACAGGTAACTGCCAACTTTATTGTTGCGGGTTCTGGCTTATATATCTGACTGTGGCCAATCAGGCTGCCACGAGGGCTGCCACGAGGAGGAAGGGCTGGAATGAGACGCGGGCTCTGGCTAATATACCCAGCTGTGGTCAATCAAGGGTTGCCACAGAGTCAGCACGGGGCGAATACGAAGTGAGCACGGGGTGGCTAATTTGGAGAGGAACGTAGCGCATTGCGGAAGCTGGCGTGGTCCTTAGTCCCGGGTGGGGTATATGTTGAGCGCCTGCGCCCAACAATACCCTTTGTATAGATCAGTGGTAGTGAAACTATAGCACGCATATTATTTGTTTTTAAGACAAAAGATGTTAATATATGAGTTTTTTCTAAATGAAAACTTCAGTATTCATATTTAATTGCAGTGTTGGTCTTTTGTGATAAATAAGTGGATTTTGGATTACACTTTGGGTGCTTGTCTCTGAAAGGTTCACCTTCACTGTTATAGGCCAATCATACTACATTTATTATAATTGTTTTTGTGTCAGTTTCTCTCAGACTCTTGAGTCTTTCAGAAGCAGAGCTTTTGTATTCTTTCTCTCTCTTTTTTTTAGTTTTTGAGACAGGGTCTTGCTATGTAGTTCAGGCTAGTCCTAAATTTACTGTGTAGCCCAGACTGACCTCCTACTCATGGTGAGCCTCCTGCCTCAGCCTCCCATGTGTTGAGATTACAGATATACACCACCCCACCACACCTGGCTATGTATTATCTCTTAATTCTCAGTGCAGGAAAGCACAAGGCACATAGTGGGATGTGGTAATTTTGATTGATCAACTGAGTGAAGCCCAGTGGTTAAGAGCCCATTGTATGAAATTAATTCAAATCCTAGCTGTTGCATGCATTGGCTATGGGACTTGAACATATTACTTAACTTGTTTAGGCTTTAACTTTGTTTTCCTTAGAGTGAAAGTTGTGGATATTAACACAGTGTGAGACATTTAGCACAGTGCTTTAAGATATAGTATACACTTAATAAACATGTGCTAGGGCTGGGGGTTAAGCTCAGTGATGCAGTTGCCTGCCTGGCAAGTGCAAGGCCCTGAGTTTGATTCCTGGTATCAAAAAAACCAAACCAAACCGAAACAGATATATTAAATACCAGAGGATCCTGGACTATAAGATCAAACCTAGCTCAAAGCAGTGTTCTCCAGGGACCTTTCTTCTGTGTTTCCTGAATGGGAAGGCTGTAATCCCAAGATTCTAATCTTATCTGGAGGCTTAGAGCTTGAGGCTCTTAACTTCAAGCCTGAGGATCTGGGGTTGCTTAGGGATGGACAGGTTACTTGGGTGTGCTAGATGTTATGGGCCTCCCCCAGCCACATGTAGATATTATAAGTGGGAAAAAGACTTAATGGGAAATTTCAGTTTCTCATTTGTACTAACTATGTATATATATATATATATTATTATTATTTTTTTCTTTCTTCTTCTTTTCTGTCTGGTACTGGAGATTGAACTCATGATCTTGCCTGCCAGGCAGGCGCCTGTGCTGCTGAGCTAAATCCCCGGCCCTGTAATAACTATATTTTACACAGTCCATCATCACGTTGGGGCTAATTTACGTGGATGGGCAGGTTTAGAACATATCTATCATTGCAGAGAACTGAGTTGCAGAGCAGTGCTCTATAATATAAGATATTTGGCCTTTTGTGGCCTGTTACATTACTTGGGTTCTTTCAGACAAGGTCTTAGGCAGTTCAGGTTGGCCTTGATCTCACTATGTAACCCAGGCTGGCCTCAAACTCATGGCAATCTTCCTGCCATTCGAGTCCTGATAGTATAGGTGGTGTGCAGTACTTTGCTTGGCTCAAAATTTCTGACCGATCCCCACAACTCTGAAGTGAGAGACTGGATCTGAAAAATAGAATATATAAGTCCTGAGCTTCTTTCTTTGGGGATCCCATATAAGAAGCAGAAAATTCTACCACTAGGAAGAAAAGCCAGAGAAGGAGGGGATAGTAGAGAAGGCCAAGAATACTTGGGAGAGATTATGCTTGCTGTATGCCAAGCACTGTTTTAAGTGGTGATATATTGGTAAACAAAAATAGACATGACTGGGTGCTGTGGCATACACCTAGAATCCCAGCCCTGAGCAGGCTGAAGCAGGCCAGTCACTGAGTTGGAGGCCAATCTGGGCTTCATAGAGAGTTTAAGGCCAGTTTGAACAATGTAGCCATAACCTTCTAAAAAAAAAAATAAATAAATAAAAAAATCAAAACTAGTTAAAAATAGTATTAAAAAATAGGCATGCTTTCTGTTATAGAACTTTTGCAGTTTATGGAGTTTAACTGCAAGAACAGGATTAAAGATTCAAAGCATCCATCCTTCTGCATTCTCCATGTTCTAAAACTTCATTCCTAGAAGTTGGGTCTGGAGGGTAAAATGGGCCATCGTGGTTGCGTAAACATTGTGCAATCATTGCACCAGTTTTTGGAACAGAAAATAAGAACACCATGAAGTTCATGACTTAAGAATTTGGGGAGTATAAGGTATGTGTTGTACCTGTGGAGGGCAGGAGGTGTAGTTTCCACCATCCTGCAATAGCTATGCTTGTAGTTGTCAGTTGTCCTTGTCCCTGCTCTCAAAGCGTTCTCTCCTCTGCCTTCTTGTATTGTCAGCATGGAATGGTCGCCACATGACTTACTTCTCAGTGCCCAGTAAAGACATACATCACTTTTCAGTCCATTACCTGATCATTTATCAATTTCCAGCAAGTGCAAACAGGTATCCTTTGGAATATACAGCATTTCAAAGTAAGTCCTGCCTGTAACACCAGCATTGTTTGGGATTGAAGTGTAGGATTTTGGATTTACAGCTGACGCTTCGTGCTCTTGCATCAACTCCACAGAGACTTTCTGAGCTGATTTTGGGGCCTGATTTTTGGATTACATGATACTCAGTGTCTTCTCCCTGCTCTCTGACTCTGAGCTTTCTTCACTCCAGCCTGCCCCACACCATGGTTGACAAAGTATTCTTTGACTTCTGTTATTTCATCTTATTCTGAAGCACATCAGTGAGGCTGGGGATATGGCTCATGATAGAACTCCTGTTCTGCATGTACAAGGCCCTTAGTTCAAACCCCAGGACCACAAAACAAACAGATGCATGAGCACCTCCACTGTTGTGTGGGTTATATATTGTACAAAGGTATTGTGGTCATACATTAGAAGTTGTAGATTTGCATATTTTTTATGGCAGATGGGAGTAAAATGTATTGTTCTAACAAATATATCTGTCAAGAAAGGAAAACCTAATATAAACACACATACACAACAACACCACCACCCAAGAACTGAGAAACATCTTTATTCTTATGTTCTAATTCTCTGGCAGGCAAACTCCTTTCCATCTTTTAAAACCTTGCATAATCCTGGGGTGGTGACACATATTTGTGATTCCAGGGAGGCTAAAACAAGAGAATTGGTATGAGTTTGAGGCCACCCTGGGTAATTCAAGGCCAGGCTAAAAAGTACCTAGAGAAACCTGTCTCAAACCCAACCCAACCCAGCCAACCTTGTATAAATACTCATGAATTCCTCATGAAATCTTTTGTAATACTTTCTTCAAGTGGTGTTAGTCACTGGGTTAATGCTATATTTTGTTACTCTTAATAGTGCTTATATTGTAATAATTAGTGTTTGAGTCTGTCTTGTACTGCACTGAGTTCCTCACATATAGGGATGATATTTTATTCACCCCTGGGAGATTTAGCATATAGTCTAATGTCCAGCACAGAGACCATATCAATAAATGTGTGACATACATTTGATTGCTTAGCATGATTAAGTCAGGGAGGTAAATATTTACCTGTATCATTTCATTTAATCCTCTCAGCAGCCTCTCCAGTCTTGTCATTATCACAGTTACAAGTTAGGAAGTTGAGACTGAGGTGGAGTCAACTGCCTCAAGGTGAGCAGTGGTAGCAATTATATGCAGAGTCGCTGGAGGACTGCTGCTAATGGAAGTGCTTTTCCAGCAGTTTCTTGTTTTGTCTTTCACAGCCATGATGCGAGTGTGCTGGTTGGTGAGACAGGACAGCCGGCACCAGCGAATCAAACTTCCGCACTCAGAAGCAATTGTGATTGGGCGTGGCCCAGAGACTGAGATCACTGATAAGAAATGTTCTCGGCAGCAAGGTAACTGTTTGTAAGAATGTGGAGATTACTGTGTTTGGTTCTGGAAGATAGTGTTAACCAAACATACACATTGCCAGATGCTTTTGAAGGGAAAACCTATTATAAAAAGAAAGGTCCCAAACTCGAGGACTCAGCTTTTTAGCCAATGTTAGGGCCTCATTTATTCTTCATTCTGTCCTCCCATTCAGGCCAGCTTAGGCAATTGTGGGGAACAGGCAGGCTCCATCCTATTGCAGTGGTGTGGTAGAGAAAGCCCTGTGCCTTGCTTTGCTTTGCCTGGGGAGATGGTAGTAAATTCTGGAGTTTCTGGGCTGAAGCCACGTCTGAGGAGCAGTGGGGTGGTGCATCCTTTACATATTACCTCACACAGAGATAATGTCTTTATGAGACTATGGCATTCCAACCCTTCCCTCTCATAGGTCTTAAGGAAAGTCCTTACTCCCAGGACTTACTAAGTGCAGTACTTCATTTTGTCTTGTAAACTTTGGGCATGCTCATTGCCACCTGTAGCATGTTCCCATAGTCTGAGGATTCCGGACTTAGAGATCTGGAGTCTAGTACTGCTTATGGATTTCCCTGTGTGATCTGGTCCAAGTGGAAGGAAAAACTAAAGCTGTGTTTGCCCTGAAAAGGCCCAAGGCATAGAAGTGGTTGCCACTTCTCTTGATTCTCCTCGTCACTGCGGCAACAGTAGGGGCATGTGTCAGCTTGCTTTCTGTGTGTTGTCCCTGGTGTACAGCAGTGTGTCTTCTTCCCTTCCCTGCCTCAACTCTACATAGTCTGTTCACTTTTCTGAATGGAAGTGCTCAATAATGTTACCTCTTCTCACACATACGTAGAATTTTCTGTCTCTGTATTGCTATTCCTAAAGCATTCCATTCAAGGCCAGTTGAACTTCTGTTTTCCAGGAACATGTTTTACCTCTTTCTCTGTTGAAAGCATCTAGAAATTGATTTTATTTTTTGTTTTGTTTTGAAATAAGGTCTTGTTGTATTGCCTTGGCTCATGTTGAACTCCTGGGTTCTTATTTATTTCTTAGCCTTGTTATTAGCTGGCACTACAGGTATACACCACTGTATCCAGTTTGATTGTTGTGTTTTATATAGTGGAAGCCTGATTTAATCCTGAGCCAAGAGCTTGTGCTTTCCTGCTAGGAGTGTCTATAATCCTAAGGGGGCCAGGAGTTCTGGAAGGAGGAAACTGGTAGGATATTAGCAATAGCTAAAGGGGTACATACACTGATGGATATTTTATGGAAGCATTTGGAGCTCTTACAAAATGGGATTTGGAGCCCCAGCCACCTGCTTATCAGGCAGTTGCTCCTAGGTTTTAGAGGAAAGATCTGTATAACTTCATTGTCCTTTTGGGAAGATAGGACTAGATGTCTGACTTTTGTTGCATTTGTGGTTAAAAATTTTCAATCTTTTTCAGTCCAGTTGAAAGCAGAGTATAACAAGGGATATGTCAAAGTGAAGCAGGTATGTGGGTACCTTGAATTTCCTTTTTTTACTTGATGATTTTGTTGTGGTGTTGCTTTCAGAGTGTGTGTACTAGCCAAAAAGGCTTCTCTGGTAGGTGTGGAAGTGATGGAAATATAGCTGAACATGAAGCACAATTCTTGATACCCAGTAAGTGGTTAACATATTAGCAGCTGTATTACTAATGTATTATTTCTATTACTATAGTTATTTTTTGATTATTCCATAGGTAGGGATCAATCCCACCAGCATTGACTCAGTCATCATTGGGAAGGACCAAGAGATGAAGCTGCAGCCTGGCCAGGTTCTCCACATGGTGAATGAACTTTATCCATATATTATAGAGTTTGAGGAAGAGGCAAAGAGCGCTGGCCTAGAAACACACAGAAAGAGAAAGAGGTCAAGCAACAGTGACTCTATAGAAAGGGTTATTGCTCAGAGAGCTGCCTCTGGGACAGGGCTTGATCCTGGGAGCAGTCTGAGCCAATGTTCTGTGCCTTCAAAGAAGGAGAAAGATGCATCCACCAAAAAGGTGAGGGCAGTGTGACTGATGGATGATGTGGCAGTTAAATGAGATATTATGACTGCTTAATTGTTTTGTGTACTGTAAAGCCCAGGCACATACACAGGGTTATTAATCATAATGAGAGTTTTCAACCATGATTAAAGAGTCACTTGTTTGTGGCATGAAAATTTGGGTGAATGACCTTTTAAATGCTTTTCTTTTGAGTTTGTGAGGTAAGCCACTTGAAGGAAGGTAGGGAAGTAATGGCAGTAAATACTTAACACTGAACAAGTAGAATGGGTTAGTTGTTTATATATCTATAGAGGGTTAGCATTGGATGCTTTTCATGTATTATGAGATTCATGTGCTGATGTTAAATTGGCAGACTTGCTCAGGTTGGAGAGTGAGGGCCACAGAGATGTGATTCATGCTCAGGCATTTCTGATCTCTGTCCAGACACCCAGTTGTGAATATAGGTATACTGTGGGGTTGGCTTACAGTTCCAGATTGAAGAAAAGGAGGTGTAGTTTAATTCTTAAAAACTAACCTTACTTTCAGGTTTGTTGGACTTTGCTGTTGCACAGTATTTACTAAAAGCAGATTTAATTATTAGCATTTTAGAATTTACATTGTCTTTTTGTGTTGGTGGTGTTTAGGAATCACTGAACCACTGGAGTCAAGGCTTGAAGATTTCTATGCAGGATCCCAAAATGCAGGTCAGAATAAAGTTTTGTAGGTAGAGTACAATTCATGTTTTACAGGATCACTCACAGAGGCCATGATTATAAATGAAATTAAAGAAGTGAGATTTGTTTTATTGGACTGTTCTGTGAGAATAAGTGGCTTCAGCAATAAGATAGCAACTGGAGTTTTTGGAGAGAAGTTAAGTTCTTCAAAAGAATATCCCTTTTTATTTATCTATGTATATATTTTATGTATTTTTTTCCTTTTTATGTTTGAATAAAATGGATTTTAAATAAAAAAAGTATATATTTAAAAAGTTAATTTTTATTAGTACATGTTTACAGTACATAATGATTACATTCATCATAGTACATTTTCTATTTTTAAACTTCTGGATACTAGTAAGAGAAGTCATATTAACCTTTGCCTGGGCCCTTTCAAGGGAGCATCAGGCACTGTATTGTGACTCTAGTAGCTCATTGACCTAGGACTAATACAGCCACCTTAGAGGAGCCTTTGAGGTCTGTTTCAGTTCATTCTGGTTGACAAGGGGCCAGGGCTGTAAGGCTCCTCAGAACTCATGCACATGTGTCCGTGTCTGATACATTAGATTGGATGTGTTTGAATTTATGCCTGCAGAGATTTCTTTTTTAGTATTGGGGCTTGAACCATGGGCCTTGTGCATGGTAGGCAAGTATTCTTCTACTGAACTACACTCCCAACTCTTTGTTTTATTTTGAGATATTTTTATTTTATTTTGATGTTTTGCTAAGTTTCCCAGGCTGGCCTCCAATTTAAGCTCCTGCCTCAGCTTCCTGAGCAGGTTGGATTATAGGCATGTGCCACTATGCCTGGCTTCCTGCAGGTTTTTAGCATCAGATCCATGAGCACTATTTTGTACTTTGCATCTTCTGTGTATTCTGTACAGTGTGGTGGTTGAAAGCAAAGACTTTGGAATCTGTTTGATCTGAATTGAAATCCTAGACTGTGTAATTATGTGACTTGTATTTAATAATTATGTGACTTGTATTTGGCATTCTCAATGTGTCTGATTCTCAGTGCTCTCATCTTTTAAAATTGGGATACTAAAATCTTGTCTGCAAGCTTGTTGTGGGGAATAATTGACTTAATGAATGTGACAGTATCTGGGACACGGAATATTCTTAGTAGTTGTTTCCTTTTTTCTTGTGCCCTTGTGGTAGGTTTACAAAGATGAACAGGTGGTGGTGATTAAGGATAAGTACCCTAAGGCTCGTTATCACTGGCTGGTCTTACCATGGGCCTCCATTTCCAGTCTGAAAGCTGTGACTAGAGAACATCTTGAACTCCTGAAACATATGCACACTGTGGGAGAAAAGGTGATTGCAGATTTTGCTGGGTCCAGCAAGCTCCGCTTCCGATTGGGCTACCATGCCATTCCCAGCATGAGGTAAGTGTTCTGAGTGGTGCTAGTGCCTCTTGGATTTGTGGAGGTGGTCAGCCTGGGCTTGCTGAGTGTACTAATTGCTGAGTTCAGCGCAGTTCTAAAAATTTTCAGGGTGAAGGGTGGTAGAGAATGATGAAATAAAAATGAGAGTCAGAATACAGAAAACTGAAGTCAGGTAGAGCCTCCTCTCCTGATTGGAGAAAAGGGACTGTTCAAAGACTGCTGTCTATTTGTTTACACACGCAGCAAGGCGATGTCACATGACACCACTCTGCCTAGCAACCTGTTTGCTTGGATTGCTTCAGGCTCTCCACATTGTTGGAGCTGGAGCGGCTTGTTCACGCGGCTTGCCTTGGGTGCTTTTTATTTTCTAGTCAGTCTTGCTCTAGTGCTGCACGTCTGATCGAGCTCCAACTTCGGCCACTTCCCACTACTGATAGCTTTGAGGCACAGTAGAGCAGGGTGAGATGTTTCTAAGGCAAGTGGGCTGAAGCTTCCACTCTTCTGCCTGACTTACTTGTGACCCTTGAGTTCCTGTTCTACCTGTAATTCAATCCCACGTAGTTCTTCATTCCTCTGAAAGTTTAGACCTTTGAGGGCCTAATGTGAACTAGATGAGGGAGCTTTTGTTACTTTTACCTGAAGAATTGTTGCCAGAGGCGTTTATTACATTTTTCAAAATCATCTGCAGCCAAACTGGGCATAGTGGCATATTCTTGTAATCCCAGTGCATGGGGCCCCGGCTGAGGCAGAATGATCACTGTGAGTTCAAGACCAGTCTGGGCTACACAGTAGGTTCAAAGCTAGCCTGTACTGCAAAGTGAGACCCTGTTTCAAAATATCTAACACAACAAAACAAAACAGTAACCCAAAATGATTGAAGATGGTTGTTTTGAGGGAAACAAACATTATAGACTTTTGTAATGACAGTTTAGTATATGTGAGATTTAAAATAATATGAAAAGAAGTGTAGAGGCTGTTTTCTTTTGGCATATACCCAGAATGATTTGGAAAGGAATGACCGATTCTTTTCAAACAGTGCAACCAGGCAGATCTCTACGGTTCTTTTGGGCTCAGTGGTAAGATAATCAGATTTTCAAAATTTGTAGAATTTTTTTGGTCCTGGGAATTGAACCTAATGCATGCTAAGTACACACTTGCTGCCACTTAGCTATGCACTTAGCTCCACTTTAAACCACTTTTAAACCACTTTTCAATGCACATACATTGCAATTAAGCCTATTCTCATTGTACAACTGTCAGCACCATCCATTTTCAGCATTTATTCATCTTCTTAAACTGATACTCTGCTCATTAAATTGTAATTCTCCACTCTCCCGCTCCTTAGTCTCTGGCAATCACCATTGTACTGTTTGTATTTGTGAATATGAGTGTTATGGGTACATCATATAAGTGGGATCATGCAGCATTAGCCCTTTGGTAACCAGCTTAATTCACTTAGTGTAAGACCCTCAGGATTCATCCATGTTGTGTCATGTGCTAAGGTTTCCCTCAGTTTTTTTTTTTTTTTTTTTTTTTTTTGTCTTTTTCTTTTTTATTGGTACCAGGGATCGAACTCACGACCGCACACTTGCAAGGCAGGCGCTTATGCCACTGAGCTAAATCCCCAGCACCCCTTCAGTTGTTTTTGAACCACCAACACTGACATTTTAGTTAGATGGTCAATTATTACTTAGATTACTGGCTGCTTTAACCAAATACAATCTTTCTACAGCTCTTCTCTCCCTTTCCGTATGACAGAGTCCTTGGCCACTAAGCCCTTTTCACATAGAAGTCATGATGCCTGAACCTTTCTCCTTTGTGACTGTGCTAAGGACCGTGTCAAGAGCAAAATGCATAGGCAGGACAGTTGCCATTTACATACCCTTTTATGATCACTATGACATAAAAGTTCTCAGTAAATCAGTGTGATAGAAAGGGAAAGTAAAAAAAAAAAGAAAGGGAAAGTAATAATTTTTTTCTGCAAATGTAATATTTTCAATTTAGAAAATGCAAAAATAAAGTATGAACGTGGGCGTGGTAGCACATGCCTGTGATCACAGCACTGAGGAGGTTGAGGGAAGAGGGTCTCTGCAAGTTTGAGGCCATCCTGGATTACAAAGTGAGCTCAAGGCTGCCTGAGCTACCCAATGAAACCTTGTCTCAAAAAGACAAAAGGGCCAAGAATTTAGATCAGCACCATAAGCACCTGCCTGGCAAGCTTGAGGTTGTGAGTTCAATCCCTGGTACCAAAAGAAAAAGTATGAAGCGGTGTAAAGACTTTTTCCATAATACCCACCAATAACTACACTGTAGAGTAGATCCTATTTTATGCATTGTTCCTATAGAATCTTTTTCTGCTTCAGCATCTAATCCAGGATTTCTTTTCTTTTTTTTGTGTGTGTGTGTGTCTCTTTTTTCATTTTTATCGGTACCAGGGATCGAACTCACGACCGCCTGCTTTGCAAGGCAGGTGCTTATGCCGCTGAGCTAAATCCCCAGCCCCTAATCCAGGATTTCACATTGTATTTATTTGTTGTCTCCTTAATCTCCCCTGATCTGAGAGTTCCTTTTCCCCCCTGGTATTTGTGATTTTTGCCACTACCACTTTTTGTGATACTGGGGATTGAATATAGGGCTCCTGCATGCTAGGCAAGCATTCTAGTGCAGCGCTACATTCCCAGCCCTTTTACTTTTTTATTTTTTGGCAATGGGAATTGTACTCAGGACTTGTGCTTGCCAGGCAGATGCTTGTGCTACTGAGCTATATCCCTGGACTGATCTTGACATTTTTTGATGAGTACTAGTTGGTTTGGTAGGATGTTTCTTAGTTTGGTTTGTCTGTGTGTTTGTGTGTGTGTGTGTGTGTGTGTGTGTGTGTGTGTGTGTGTGTGTTTGAGACAGAGTCTTACTGGCCTTGAGCTCACTTTGTAGCTCAAGCTGACCTCAAATTCACAGCAACCCTCCTGCCTCAGCTTCTCAAGTACTGAGATTATACAGATGTGCTACCACACCCAGCCTAATTTAAAAAAAAAAAGATTAGATTAAAGCTATTATTGTTTGCCAAAGATTTTTTGCTTGATGTTTATGATTGTGTCTCTTTCTTATGCGAGGGTTCATGTGTATGAGTCCAAACTGTTTCACCCATGAACATGATCTTTAGTTGGGTCCATTGTGTAGGAGCCTTGAGATTATTCTACTTTATAGCTGGGTAGCTTTCCACTGCATGAAAATACCATATCTTTCTTATCCATTCTGTGGTTGATGGGCAAGTTACTCTTGCTTTTTTTTTTCTTCTGGTGTCCTGTCACATAGAACAATTGTTTTCTCTCCTTTGATTTTCAGTCTGTGAATTTCCTTTCCAGTTAAATGTGTTTCTTGTGTACAGTGTATTGATGGATCTTATTTCTTGATCCACTCTTCCCATGCTTCTTTTTATCGCTGGCCCGAGGCAAGCTACATTGTGCTTCTTTGCATCATCTTGCAGCCAATGAGTTGTTATTTCCTGATTCGATGTTATTTTTAAGAGGTGGTTCCTTTCACAATCCTGTCTTCAAGGTTTGAAAGTCTATCTTTAGTGTCTTTCAAGTGGTTTTGCCAGCTTTCAATTGAATTTTTAATTTCCTGCATCTCTCTTTGAATCTGTTTCATGCATTGTAATTCCTTTCTACATTCACTCAAGGTTTCCATCATTTTTCTGTGCTCCTCTTTATTGCTGAACAGTTCTTTAGACCTGCTGAACAATTCTTTCAGTATGTTTGTGATTTCTTCTTTCACCTGAGACATTATTTCTGATTTGACTGCTTTTACAACCTTGTGAAGTTGTTTCCTTACTTCAGTTGCTATCTTCTCAGAAATTTCAGGAGTGTGACTTCTGTTTTCTTCCATGACTGTATCTCCCAGTCTTGTTCTGTGTGGGCTGGATGCCTGAGATTGCCTTTTGCTCCTTTATCTTGACATTCTCCCAACAAGCTGGTTGTGGGGCCCCAGGCACTTCCCATATTGGCTGTCCCTCCATGGTGTAGGGGGAGGGAACAGACACCTGGGTTCCTCTAACTCCAGATTTACAGGGCGGTAATAAGAAATGGACGAGGCTTCTCCAGACCTGTGCAGCTACACTAGGGTTTCCCTGATGATCAGGGGTGCGTGGGGGTGGGGCTGCTTCTCTCAACCTGTGTGTTTACACTGGGACTCCCACGATGGTGGCTGACACACAGGGGTGTATTTGTCTGATCCCGCTATTGGGTGATGGCTTCCCGAAGGAACCAAGGGCCTCCAGTGGTGCCCTACAGGTGCACAGGGCTTACCTGGTTGCGTGTCCCTGCTCCTGCTGGCCATCTGCAGGAAGGAGCCTTCCTTTGGCAGCTCCCTGCAGGTGGAGGCAGATCTCTGGTTGTCTCTGCCTGCGCTGGCCACTTTGGGAAAGGGACTTCCAGTGGTGGCATCTGGCAGGCAGAGGCAGATCTGTCTGGCTTCTCTGCCTGCTCTGGGAGCTTGTAGGAAAGGGCCTTCTGGTGGCAGCATCCGGCAGGCAGAGTAGAATATAAGTTCTATAAGGCCAAAGCCTTTCCCATTTTGTTGACTGCTAAATTCCCAGTACCTAAAGCAGTACTTGACTTTAGTACTTACTGAGCATTAAATATTCTTTTTTATTGACATGTTTCTGATACATAACAATTATATTCATTTTTTTTTTTTGGAGAAATATATATGTGCATTGTTGACCTTCATTCCCCCTCATTACTCTTCCTTTTCCCCCTTTCTCTAATTCCTTTCCGTCTCCAAAAAAATCTACACCTGTTTCCTACCATCTTCTCTTACTTTGCTTTTTATTTATATTTTAGGTTTCTTAAATAGGAGAAACCATGTGATAGTTAATTTTCTGTGTCTGACTTACTTCACTTAGCGTTATCATCTCAAGCTCTGTTCATTTTCCTTTGCTTATTATTAAGTGAGTGCACTGAATAAAATGGGCACTTTAGCAATATTGTGTGCATCCATACTTCGATTGTTTGTCATTTTAGCTAAGCCATAGTTTTGGTTTTTTTTTTTGTCTTTTTCCTTTTTATCAGTACGAGGTATTGAATCACGACTGCCTGCTTTCAAGGCAGGCGCTTATGCCACTGAGCTAAATCCCCAGCCCTAAGCCATAGTTTTTAATGAGTTTTTTTTCTCTCCACTAGCCATGTACACCTTCATGTAATCAGTCAAGATTTTGATTCTCCTTGCCTGAAAAACAAAAAACATTGGAATTCTTTCAATACAGAATACTTCCTAGAATCACAAGGTAAATAGTATTCTTTAATTTACACATTTGTTTCATTTTTTACAGCTGTTCTTATGCTTGATTCATTCATTTCCTTCCTTCCTTCCTTCTTTTTTTCTTTCTTTATTTGGGTATTGAGATTGAACTCATGACCTTGTGCTTGCCAGGGAGGTGCTGTGCTGCTGAGCTATATCCCAGCCTCCTAATTCATTTCCCTAAATAAACACATGGCCTCAAAAACCCACTGACAACTTTGTATTCCCTATAAAGAGGACACTATTCAAAGAAAGTAATATTTGACTTGTAAAATGATTGCTACTTTTCTGAGAAGCCTTCTGAGGGACCTGCTAAGCTATTATGTTAGGGATAAAAAGTATTGAATCTCATTGTGGCAACAGAAGACCTAAAGGTTGTTGTGAGAATTATTGGAATTTCATACTTGAGAAGGCTGTAGCAATTCTTTATCTCTTTTGCCACTGGTAGGGCTGAGTATGGGAGCTGGTTCCTCTTGGAGGGTGGCTAATGAACAGAGGAGATCTGTGTATAATTGAGGAAGCATTTCCTGGTGTGTACATCATGGAATTTAGTACTGAGATGTTAAGGACAGCAGCTGTCACTTACCAAGGCCAACCAGGGGTAAAGTACTGTGATAAGCTCTTAGCATAGTAACATGAAGTGGGTGCTAAATAAGAATGATATCTCAAGGGTATGCCGCTCAGATTTAGGATCTTATCAAGTTCGTGTTCCTAATGTGAAGTCTAACCTTCAGCTTACTAGTTTTAGGTAAGTGGCATATTGATTGAATTCATGTTTTCTCTTTTTGATTATCTTACATTGACTTTTTGAAGTAGCTAGGAGCTGAGCTTTTCTTCTTTGCTTGCAGCTGTGATCAAGATGATACAAGAGGCTGGCAGAGTGACTGTTAGAGAAGGGACATCTGAGCTCTTGAAGCTGCCTCTTCATTGTCATGAGTGCCAGCAGCTGCTGCCTTCCATTCCTCAGCTGAAAGAACATCTCAGGAAGCATTGGACAAAGTGATTCCACACAGCCTGAACTGCTGCCGCGAGCGTGGCCAATTGGAGTGAATTGCTGGCCTCCGTGCTGGGTTGCTTGCGAATGTCTACTCATTTCCTGAATTAAAACATGCTGCTGCAGGTTATTTTTTTTAGCAGTTTATTCTTGAGAGGCCACAATGTGGGGTGACTCAGAATAACTGAAGGGTTAGGAATTTGTAATTTGGGTTTTCCATGCACGTGTTCTCTGGTAAGCACAGCAGGGAGACTCGTGAGCACCATGTCCAGGACCCATGTCAGTCTAGTGGTCAGCTGCATTCAGACTTCCTGATAGTGCAGGGCATAGAAGCAGCAGGGTGGTGGTATGATTTTGTTCTCCTTCAGAGACACGTGATATCTTTTTATCAAAGTGGCTAGAATGATCCCTTGTTTATCCTAAAGGCTCTGAAGGGTTACAGTTCTTTGATCTTAATCTGTTTTGCAATAATCTGCTTCACTCCTTCATGGGGAGGCTTGGTTTATTCTGTCCCTTCTACTTCCTGCTATCCAAGGTCACCTAAGTACTTTCCTCTCAGGAAGTTGTTCCAGTCAGTTCTTCACTGTGAGCAGTAAGGTTAGGTGACTTTGGTGAGTAGAGTTTTGTTTCAGTGTCAGAGGCTGAAGCTGGTGAGGCTGGTTGGGATCTGTTGATTGGAAATAAAGTTCATTATGGGAGGCATCACTTCAAGGTAGTTAAAAATGGCTGGAAGGTCAGCTGACATGACAAGATTGGTTGTCACGCATGAAAATTTATATAGAACAGTTACATCAAGTTGGTTTTTTTAAAATATCAAACTAAGGGGAAATGTTGTTTTTGATATATTTTGGGATAGTTTTTACCTTTTCCCCTCTGTAATCCTGGGGATTGAACCAAGCAGGGCCTCTTGCATGCTAGGCAAATACTATGGCACTGTTTTACATCCCTAGCTATTTGAAAAATTTTATTTTGAGACAGGTCTTGTAAAGTTGCTTAAGGTTGTCTTAAACTTGTGTCTTCCTGTCTTTGCTTGCCAAAGAACTGGGACTACAACTGTATAGTACCTCACTTGACCTTGATTTTCACTTCTGAGCTCTAAACAAAAATAATACCCTTAACCTGTCTGGAGGAAAAAAACCTCAGTCCATAGAGACCCCATTTGACCTCATCTGTCACAAATAAAATGCCACAGAGGTTGTTCTTTGAGCTTGGGTACAGTAGTAATTAGTAGTAATTAATGATTATAGAGCTGCTATTTACCAATTCTTAGATGTTCAGCACTGTGCTAAACACTTTAGTTAAATTCTTATGTAATTGTCACTGTACATAACTAAGAGATAGGTACTATTTTTAAATCCCTTTAATTGATGGGGACCTAATACTATTATTTTTTGGGGAAGTACTGGGAATCGAACTCAGGACCTTGTGCTTGCTTATGCTGCTGAGCTATATCCCCAGCCCAAGGACCTAATATTTTGTTAATGGTACTGCTCTCCAAAGGGTCTTGGTTCTGATATATCAAATTCATTATTTTCCCTATCAGTTCAGTGCATGAAGGGTAGGGCTAGTCATCAAATATCATAGAACTCAGGGCCTTGGGCTTGTGTTAGTCAAAAGCTTCTATAGCACCTTACTGATTTCCCTGAGGCCAGCTGCTCCTTTGAAGCCCTTCTTGCCTATTTCTCATTACCCAGCATCTTTCAGATCTGTCCACTTTCCCTTCTGTACTCCAGGAATATAATAGTAACCTCATCAATCCACCTGCTTTAGCTTCTTTTCTCTGGCTTGACCCTGTACCTTTGAGCCTGGATAAACATTGTTTGAGCTTCTCTTGCAGTGGCTGTCCACTTACTCTGTGGCCTGAGGGCTTTTCCCTCAATCCAGCGGTACAGATTTGGATTCAGACCTGTGTGCCAGATCTAACTCTGCTGCTCAGAACTGAGGAGTCTTGGGGAGAAGTTCTGGAACTTCAGTATTCACATGTAAAAATGGACATAACAGAGCTGGGCTATAAAAGTTCAGTAGAATCATCTATGTATGGTTTAGCAGAGTGTCTAGTATAGAGAAGGTCCCTATAAATGCTAACTGGGAGCCCCTTTGCTTTTATTTTGGTGGCAGTTGGGAAAGAGAATTAACCTACTAGTTCTCTATGTATATCTGATGCCTTAGGGCTCTTAGACATTTTCTAAACATATACTCTATGAATTCCAGAGATTAGAATAGTTGGTTTTCCTTTAAAAAGTGTAAACATCTGGACTCTATCCTAAAACTGCTGAGTCTCAATCTTAGGGGCTACAAATAGACATTTGAAAACACTGAGGAGGATTTGAGAACTAAAGCATAAAAGAATCTTTGGATTCTAAGGACCCTGTACTTCTGAAACTTTTAGATTTGGCTGTGGCCTCTCCGCACACATGCCATTGTCTGGTTGGCTGCCTGGGCCATTTGCAGGCTTTCCTTCCCTCTGCAGGGTCAAGATTATATTAGGATCCAGGTGAGCTTAGTTGAAAGAGAGTGCCTGACTATAACAATGAGCACTTCCTTTCTACCAGGGTTAAGGGGGAGCTCTCGTGGTCCCAGGCTTTTGGGGGCCAGGTCTGGACAGATGATTGCTCCTCTCAGTAGCTCTCATTCTCTCTCCCTGTCCAGAGGTCAGTTCGCTGCTTAGCCTGGGACCCATGATGAATGCTGGCAGCCTTAGGCTCAGCATAATCATTTTTTCTTCTTCAGGGGTCTTTCTCTGAGGTTTTTAGATACAAGTGGTTCTTGCAGGGACCAGATCATACTTGAGATGATCAGTGAAGAGTTCTGCAGTTTCAGGGACGCTTTCTAGACCCTAGCAGCTGGCATTCAGTCACACAGTGGACATGGCTGAATATCAGATTCTGGGCTTACCTGTTAGAGTGGACTGCTTCTCTCTGCTCCCAGCAGCTCTAACTTGGATGCTTTCACAGGGTTCAGAAGATAATATAAATTAAATTCGGCAACAATGAACTGAAAATCATGAAGTCTGCTTTCCAGAATAAAGTATATTTACATTTTGTCTATATTATCAGGGAGCTTATTGTCATTGAAACGCTTCCATAGACTCCTTAGGTCTGTGAACCTCAATTTAAAAGTTTCTAGAAAAATACGTCATCACTATAAATTTGGGATGCTCAGGATGTCCAGGGTCACAGTGGGTCACTAGAGGTAGATCTCACCTTCAGGATGTTTCTGGGATGCTCTTTGATCTTGACGTTTCTCTCTGTCTTTTGTTGTGTGGATTTATGGTTGGAGATGGAGTTTCAGGCTGCTGGCTCATGTTTAGCCTCCATGCTTAATAGTGTCTTGAGACACAAGGAAATCTTCAGAGGATCTGAGGCACTCAGAACCTTAGCTGGCAGACTCTTCATGAGGTATTTAAAAGATAATCAGTCTTTAGGAAGATGAATGTCCAGGGAGACACTCTGTCATCTGCGCAGATAGCTCAGCAGCACTGTGCCTGTTTCAGGACAGTGGGAGGGGCAGTACTTGGGGACAGCATGTCAGGAGCACAAACTCTACCAAAGATAGCTTGTAGCAGTGTGTACTGTTAGTTTAAGACAGAGATCTTAACTGAGGCCACAGCCAATGTCCTTGAGAATTACAGAACATTTAATCAAACTTGAGATAAATTTCTCTCAGTGGCCTTTTAAAAATAGTTGTTGCAAGAGCATTATATTTAGCTTCCACCTTACTAACAATGCTATAAAATTTAGCATATTAAAGTCAAAATGAATACTAGGAATTGCAACCAAGGACAGACGGTCAGGCAGTGTACCATGTGAGATGTAATGAAGAAAAATTCAGGTGAGTGAGGTGACCACCTCTGTATTCTTTGTTTAGCTTGGCTACTCAGTGACCTTGAAAATTACATGTTTTTAGAAGAAAATATAATGACTTGGAGGGCCCAGAAAAAAGAAGTGAGAGACCGAGGTATACATTATATGTCTTACACCACTGTCTCCCATGTGGGCTATTTGTTATCACTGAAAATGTTCCTTTTCTATACCTACTTGACCCAGACTTATTGCTACATTACAGTTGATCGGTGGAGTCTTCTGAAGAGGAAGGGAGTACTGGTGGGAAAAGGGAGACCAAAAAGCAGTAAACACTTTTGTGATATCATTCGTGCCATTTCCTTTTTTTTTTTTTTTTTTTTTTTTTTGTCTTTTTTGAGACGGGGTCTCGCTGTGCAGTTCAGGCTGACCTTGAGCTCACTTTGTAGCCCAGGCTGCTCTCGAACTTGCAATGATCCTCCCACCTCAGCCTCTCGAGTGCTGGGATTACAGGTGGGAGCCACCATAGCCTGCTATGCCATTTCCTGTTAGAGGCCACCCTACAAGACTGCTTATCATAGTTGGGTCATCCCACAGTTTTATTAAAATAACAAGTGGAGGCAGCCTCTCCCTCAACAGTGCGGCCCTGCTGCCTGGGGAAAAAATGGGAAGGAGGCCATGCTCCCCACTCCATGGACAGCTGGCCTGCAGGGGTTGGGGGAGGGCTGGGAGGGAAGAACACGCCCTCTAAAATCCCTGTTGATTCAAAGAAACAGACTGAGATGATGACACCTGAACTAAAGAAACAACTTAACACTTGTATTGATTGACTTTGCAACCTAAAGCTGGTGGTTTGAGCTACAATTTTTTAAATTTGAAAAATGATAAAAGCAAGGAAAATAAAACACAAGAAAACCAATAAAAAATAAACCAGTAAAAATGATACAGGACTTCAAAACCTTGTGAAACCAACAATAGTTACCATAATGCCTTTTGTTGTTTTCAAAATAGCTGTAGATACTTTCAGACATAGTAAAAATCGAACAGATCAGTATAGAATATAAACAATAAAACTGAAACAGTGAATGCAATAAAGGACTTCAAAACAAGCCACCAGTAAATCAAATATGGCCACCATAATGTGTTTTGTTATCTTTGAAACAGCTGCTCCTACCATCAGATTTAACATAATCAAACAAAACAAAAGAGAATAAAATGCAGCCCGGCAAAACAATGAAGATGATACAGTTTCCCTGTTGGGATCACTTCTTGGTGAGGCCTGGATCTCCCCCACAGTCCGCAAGTGGCACGGACTTGGAGAGAGGCTTAGGGTGGCTGTTCCCATTCCGGCACAAGCTGGAGCACGGTGTTCTGAGCAGCTATTTAGAGGATAACAGTGTACAGTATGCTAACCATTGTGGATTGTCTCCAGTCTTATCACTTTTGTTGTTCTGTTTTATTCCCTTTAAAAAAAATAAGAAGTGGCTTCTGGGAGGTAGGGCTATGGGCTGGTGGGGCTGTAAAGACACAGGATAAGGAAAACCCCTCTGGAAGTGATAACACAGTTCTGCATTACTACAGTAGTGATCACATGAATTTGTACATGTGCTGAAACAGCACAGACCATTCTATTCCTGCCTTTAAAAAACTATACTAGTGCATGTGAAACACTGAAGCAGTTCCAATATGACTTGTAATGGGTTAACAGCATTGTGCTAACGTCTGTTTCCTAGGTTTGAGAATTATGTTACTGTTGTTTAAGGTGTTACCACTGGGAGGAGCTGGAGGAAGGCTACATTGATCTCTCTATGTTATTCTTGCAACTTCAATGTGAATGTAAAGTTCTTTGCTCAAACAAAAGAAAATTTAAATAACAAAAGTTAAATTTTATTTTTTCCAAAATAAAATCTTTTAAGAAGACAAGCAGAGAGCAGTGAGTGTGCTCAGCAGATGTATCGGCAGCCATGGCTACGGTGCACTGGCTCGGCAGATACTGAAGGCCAGCCTTCTCAGCTATGGGTTCTGAATCACTGCTGGGGTCTCTGGATTCATACAGTGGAGACACAACAACGGGTCACAATCAGCCCCGCGTCTTCTCCATGCCTGGCAATACCCCCAGGTGCCAAGCCCAGTTCTGCAACAGCCCTGTGCCTCGTGCTCAGAACTTACGACCTCAACCTTGATGGTCCTGATGTTCCCAGCGCTACCTCCCAGCCCACAAAACTGAGACTGCTTGGGAAACTACAGGTATCCTGATTCCAGTACACACTGGGAGGACACTGCTGCCTCTCTCCTGTTAGCATACCGCTTTGACTCATGCACTTGCTAGGAGATGTCCCAAATGGGTAACCCACACCACCCTGTAGCTCCTTAACACACAGAGGCCACTGTCTTACAATCCAAAGTGAGGTTCTACAGAAGGCTTGAAAATAGATCAGAGCCTCCTTTATCTAAAGGACAAGTAGAGCATACTCTGCAAACAGCCTGAAGGAAGGGAAGTAACCTCAAAATGCCAAAAAGATGTTGTGTAGAGCATAGTGTAAGCAAGTGTCTCAAAAGTCAACATAGCTCAGACTGTTTGCAGAGTACCAACCATCACGTGGTTGCAGGGGAGCCAGGACCCGGTCCTCTGCAGAGGTACTTTCTGTGCACTCACCTGCACCTGCACGTTCATGATGACCACTGTGTTCGATCTGTTGCACACCACAAAGTGCTCTGGGTTTTCGGAAGCAGAATCACACTGTTGACAGTAATGTTGGTCCCCGCAGTGCTGCCTAGGGATTTAAAGGTATTTGAACATTCTGTGGTCTTCATGTTCCAGATCTACCACGCACAAAAATTTCTAATTTTATGACTTACAAATTTCAGTTATTATACTTTTTTTTTTCTTTTAAGATTCCGTCTCGGTTCGGGCTGGCCTTGAATTCACTATGTAGTTCAAATTGGTCTGAAACAGTGATCCTCCTGCCTCAGGCTCCAAAGTGTGGGCTTTGCAGGCATATGCCAACACACCTTGTAGATTACTATAAAACTGACTCAAAGCTTGTTGCTTGATTCTAAGTACAATCAAATAACCAGGATTGCCAAGTATATGGTAAGTACTTCTATCTGCTGATTAACTGGAATAAACAAAATGAAAGTCACACTGGGTATGGTGGCAGAAACCATGATAGCTATAGTCACTGCTACTTGGAGCTGAGGCAGGAGGATTACAAGTTGAAGCCCAGCCTAGCCTATTTAGTGAAACCCTGTGTCAGAATAAAATAATGGCTGAGGATATAGTGCTCAGAAGAAGAGCACTGGCCTAATATATGTGAGGCCCTGGGTTCAATCCTTAGCAGTGGAAAAAAAATACAGTCACACATTTAATAATAATCTTTCAAAATCTATGATCTTTTCTTGTAAATTTTTCCCTAAAGAGAAGTCCTACTTTTGTCTTTGAAATGAAATTACATGTCAACACTGCTACTGTTTTTTTTTTTTTTTTTTTTTTGTCTTTTTCCTTTTTATCGGTACCAGGGATCAAACTCACAACTGCCTGCTTGCAAGCCAGGCGCTTATGCTGCTGAGCTAAATCCCCAGCCCCTACACTGCTTCTGTTATAAAGTGACCAGAAGGTTACTTCGTCTGAAGATCAAAACTAAAGGGAAAGTTCTTAGGCTGAGGACCCTGTCCTCAAATTCTGATTTGGGAGATCTAGAGGCATAGACTTTTTAAAGAAAGTTGCACCAATGGGTCTAATGTGCAGCTTGTGCTGAGACAGGATCAGTCAGTAGCGCTCACCCAAGGATCAGTAAAGTGAAAGCCGCTCAGCCACCTGTTTCAATTCTCCCGGTTTTCCTGGTGTCCTGGGCTCTGATGAACTCAGGAAGTTAAATTAGCCCAGAGGTCTGAGGTGTGCTTAGAGAAGAGATGGATCAAACACCGCATGGCACCATCCAAATACCACTCATCTCATGAGGCACTGCCATGCCTGACACAGCTTGGCACAGCATAGATGTTCAATAAATTTTCATGAGCAGAAGGAAACAGTTACCCTATGAGTGCCCTAGTGTAAAAGCCATCACCTGCCCCAATCCTTCTGCTTCCAGATTGCCTATAAGAAAAAATGAACATTGCAGGGGTCAAGAGTTCTAAAGCCTTTCAATGTTTTCTGCTCAAAAGGCCCATGAGGTGCTTCACCCACTCATGGCAGAACTAAGGAGAATGAACACAAAACAAAGAGGTCTACACAAGCCACCTCTAGGTGGCATTTACAACCTGAGGCCCCCATGTGCAGTGCAAAGGGGGCAAGCCCCTTCCTAAACTAAGAGCCCTGTGTGTCTTCCCATTCACCTCCAGGGAGAGCACAGCCCTGCTTTCGTATTTCTGGTTCACTCTTAAGCCAAGCACAATTTCAGATGGTGGTCTGCCTTCTGAGGGCTGTGTTAGCATGTCTAAATCAGCTACCACAATAATTTAATTTAAAGGAAATAATTTAAAGGAACCAGGTTCAGAATATGAACGAGTGTGTCAAAGATCTCCAGCAATATTCTGTTTTTCCTGTCTTTTCCAGGAAGTGAGCCCCTCTCTTTAAAAAATTAAATCCTTTGAGGGACTGACAGTCCTCTACTTTCAGGCAAGAGGTAAGAGCAGTAAGCAACAAGAGACAGCTTAGTTCTACCCCGTAACCCCCCCTGATCCTCTATAAACACCTAGGATGGTCCTAAACTCGGGAGTTTGGGAGTGGGTGAGGCCACGCAACAAAAAGATGTATTTATCTGGCCACTGCGCCTTTTGTGGATTCGGCTGTGAGTAGGCCATGTTATGGCCAGGTAACATTTAAGCACTCTACTTCTGAATGGGGGATCATGTACATTTGGGATTTCACACGTCTGCTTCTTCTCTGAACATGATGAAGTGTGTTTGGATTATAAAGGTTTGACATTTGGGGTCCTCAAGCCAACAGATTGCCCACAGAATATTAATCTTGTCTCAGAAACAGCTTACTAGCAAAAGGGTTTATTCCACCATAATTGTCACCATTAGCACCACTGCAGTCTCCTCAAAGGCAAAGACAAAACAAGGAGCACAAATGAACCAGTAGAAAATAACCTTTACAGTGCCATCAGAGGATGCACTAATAATATAATGTACATCTTGTGTAAATGTTGCTTCATTAACAAATGAGGAGGGACTTCCGGAAGAACATGGCGGATAGTTAACAGCAACTACCGGAGGCTCTCTGAAAGGCTCGGCTCAGAAATCAGGAATGATGCGGACTAAGGAGACACGAACCAGTAGAGATATGCTCTGCTGACTCAGGAACGAACTGGGCTGAGAGAAACCAACTTGGAATGCAGTCCTGGCACTAAAATAGGAACAGAAAAGTCTCGGTGTGGAGGCTGGACCCCGCGCCATTGGAAACCGCGGTTTGGATTTCCCGCCGCTCTGCGGCTGGCTGCCTCCACAGCGGCTCGGCAAGGAGAGACACGCAGAAGCTCTGGGAACAGGAGTCTGCGAACGGAGTCGAAAACAGGACGGACAAGGAGGCGCACACTGACTGGTGGCGAGGTGAGTGAGAGAAACTGACACTCCACCACAGTTTGACTCCAGTGGAGGACTTTCTGGGCTTGGGCAGTCCTGTAATAGCAGGGCGTGGTGGCGACTCCAGCCACACATTCCCCTCTCGGACGGGATTGGTGAAAAGTGCCTGGCCTGCATGACGCTGCTGGCGGACTCGGTAGGCTGGCCTAACCCAGATCCCAGAGCCTGACAGTGGCCCGGAGGGGTCACTCCCGCGTAGGCTGCCTAGTCCGTAACTCCCTGGTACGCAGCGGTGGGCGGGAACACCTAGCCAGCGCAATTTGATCAGGCTGTGGCTGACAGGCAGGGAAGCTGGGCCTCCTATGTAAGCTTGCATTTTATAAGGAACGGAGAAAATGGGGAAGGGAAGCAACAAGAAAGGCTCCTCGGCCCCCAATTCTGAGAAACAGGCAATAGCGGACACCGCACCAATAGACATTAAACACCATATAGAGAGCCTCATAGACCAATTCAGGAATGAAGTTATCAATGACCTGAAGCTAGAAGTATGCAGAATAGTTAGAGAAATGTTAAGCACCACCCAGGAAAAAACAGATGGTGGAATGGAAGAACAGAAAAAGAGGGGAGAATTGTTTGATGGAGAAAACAGAGAAAGCATAGAGTACGTGAAGCAGGTTCAAAGGGACTATCAAGAAATTAAGAAGTCTATCCAAGACTGGCATAACAGCTTGAAAGAAACTAAGGACAGACTATCTGAGCTGGAGGGCAGACTTGTAATTTGGGAGAATGAAATGAAAAACTTCTTAAAAATAACAAAGAAACAAACAGCGATAATACAAAGACAAGAAGATGATAAGAGGAGCCATAACTTAAGGATTAAGAACATAAAAGAAGAAGTAGGGACACAAACAAGTGAACTACAAAAGCTACTCACAGAAATAATCCAGGAGAATTTTCCTAATTTAGCAAAAGGTAAAGATACTCAGGTGTATGAGGCATACAGGACCCCAGCTACCTACAACCCTAACAGAGAAACACCCAGGCATATAATAATAAAAATTCCAGAAATTCAATACAAGAACAGACTATTAAAAGCTGTAAGAGACAAGAAACAGACCACTTACAAGGGAACACCCATCAGAATTACAGCAGATTTCTCTGCACAAACCATCAAATCACGAAGATCATGGGGGGAAATAATTCAAGCTTTGAAAGATAATAATCTCCAGCCAAGATTGAGATATCCTGCACAACTGTCCCTGGAAATTGATGGAAAAACAAGGTGCTTTCAGGATAAAGAGGAACTGGGGGAATTTGCAACCACCAATTCAACCCTACAGAAAGTATTGCAGGATATTCTAAAAAAAGAAAAATACAAAGAACCCAGAAATGGTGGCGGGGAGGCCACAACGAATGGAGCAGAGAACAAAATGAAGAAGACAAACTGACAGCTACTGACAGAAAAAGAGCTCAACAGAAATGAGACAGAGAAGATTGGATGATAGGAACAGCTATTTTAGAGAAAATGATATCTTAATAGGTAATACTGATTTAGTATCATCTTGTTTTGAAGTCTCATCTAGCTTTTATTCTTCTGTCTCCAATGGTCTAAACAGGTTGTATCATATTGGATTTTATTATGTACGATAGTATAAGCAAAAACCTTTTAAAGACAAGGAGATTATACAGAAACCATTGTTCATTTTCTGTTAGTCGATTCTAAATACTCTGTAATGCTGTCATTCTCTTAAATGGTTTTACATTGTTTTGATATACTTAATGCTACAGTATATGAAGTTGTACTCAAGGACTTCAAGGAAAGAGTCAATATGGTAACTACTTTTAGGTCGGAATTATCTGGTGGTGAAACACTATTCTGCTTAAATGGTTATGTTTTGATCTGCGCTGTTTTGCTGTTATGCCTTCTTTTTTTCCCAATCTCCACTCCATTATTTACTTTTTTATTTTTATCCGTTTAATTAAAGGGAAAAAAATAGGAGGATATAATATTGTAACCCACTTTGACTTTCTATTATCTCGATTTGAAGCCCTGTATTACTCTCACCATCTTGTTTTTGACTGATGTTCCCCTATTCTGTTTTGATGGATAGTATCAGGTTCGAAAGTTTAGGCATCAGCTGAGAAGATAATGAGATTCATTATAACGCCCATTCTCGTTGACTTTTATCTACTTTTGAAGACCTACAATGTCTCCAATGTTTTGTTTTTTTCGGTTTTGTTCTTTACTATTTTGTTCAATTGTATTATAACTAGTGATATAGGCAATTCTATTAGAGATAGCGGGAGGCATTATGGTAACCATTGTTGATCACCTTGTATTATGTTTGTACATTATCTATTATGTGCACCCTTTTGACTTGACCGATTCTGTTCTGTTATGTCACATTTGGTTTTACTCTCTTCCAAAAAAAGCAATAAGAACCGTGGGAGCAATGAAACCCAAAATGTGTAATGGTCATTGTACAAAAGAGAGGAAAAGAAAGTGCTCTAAACGATATAACTGCATGTATATTTAAGTGTATAAGATAGAAAATGATATCACAGAGTTTTATTGGATCATTGAACAGAACTGTTTGCAGTATCATTGTTGGAATGTCCACTCTACAAGCTTTGGTCTTGTGACTTGAACAATTATTTTTGAGATGGCAATGTGTAATCCATTAACTAGTGATTTCCTACTGTTCATTTTTTCTTCTGTAAATCTGTACAACTTGTACCCTTTCACTTTTTTTTCTTTTCTCCTTAAATAAAAACAAAAACAAAAACAAAAACAAAACAAAAAAATGAGGAATGACCGCGGAATTCCTTCAAGGTTTTCCCTGATTTTAACCCATGAATTCTATCAAAAGAACAACTAATATTCCATATTTATAGTTGAGACCAAGGATTGAATGTATTTTGGGTGAATTTTAGAAGCTCAAAAGATAATATTAAATGAAGAAAAAGGGCCATGCAGTTGTGTATACAATATATTTGTAACTATGTGAAATAATGAAACTGCCCCCCAAATTACACTAATATAGGCTGTCGAAAAGCATCACTGATAGAAGCTTCTCCTCAGGGTCAGACCTCTAAAACACTAGTAAACAAGATTCAGCATCAGGAAGTCTCAGCTGAGTCCTGGAATCTTACTTGTAAACATATTTGACCGCCAGGTGGCAGCATTTGTACAGTAAATCTTTTCTAATCCAAAGGGTTTTTTTTTTTTTTTGGTTAGTTTTGTCGGAAGTCTTTTTTTTTTTAAAGACATTTTATATAACTTTTATATTTTTGAATCAGTGCTTCAAAATAAAAAATGAAAGGGGATTTCAGTAAGGCTGATGTAGCTTAGCTGATGTATTGAGATAATGTGAGGGGAAACCAATGTGAAGATAAGAATACGGAGCAAACACATTTGAATGGCAGGGAGGCAGTTTGACTAGGAGGAAATAGAGCTTAAAGTTGAAGAGTGTAGGGCTGAGGCCTGATTTTGGCACTCGTGTGCTAAAGGCCTCTAGAGGCATGCCATATGCATGGTTGGTAACCACTGAAGATATGCTGGCTCATTTCTTCCCTTTTTTTTGACCCTAAGTCAGTGATGCTTTTTTCTATCCCAGGAATACCTGGGGATAGCCCTGGGAGAAGATACTAGGCATACTCTTGAAAACTGGCCCAATTTTTCTGTAGCTATGTTTGCTGTTAAGTTGCTGATAATCAAATGTTACAGGAAGCACTGTCAAAGTAGCACAAGTGATGCACGGACAGGGACAGGGGCCGGTTCTGCATTTTCCTTCCATCTTATTTCTTGCCAGTTCCTCACAAACCTTCCTTCTGATAGAAGGACTTGCTTTCATCTGTGTTCTCCAGAGATGTCTTCTGCTTCAAAGGAGACAGAATAATGTCCTAATCCTATAAAGCACCAGAATATTTAGCAGGAAAGGACTGTATACACTTAAAGTAACCATAATTTGAGGGAGTCACAAATCTCGTGGATTTGGTGAAAGTTTTGGACTTCTCCCCATACAGTTTGTATGTAATTTCAAGGGAAGCACTACAAAAATCAGTTATCCATGGACACTGTAGGGCAGGTTAGCAACTAATATGTGAGTGGAGTGTGTGTGTGTTCCACAGAGCCTGATTAATTTTGAATAAACTAGTAGGACATTTTTTCCAAACCACATAGAGAAAATTGTTCTGCTACTAGTGGCATGGTATCTATTTCCCCTGGAGAAATGAGACAGATTTTTAATTTCTTGCTTGGACAATCTGTCAAAATTCTAGTAGTACCTAATGTCCTTTTGAAGACTGAACATAGAAGTAATTGTTACAGTAAAGTAACAAACTTTTAGCCCTGTTAAGCATCAAATGTGCTTACATTCCCAAATTCATGCTGAAAGAAAATATCCTAAATGTTAACTAGTGAACCTCTTTACATAGAAAGAATATAGTTTAAATTTTTTTTCTTTTTGGTACCGGGGATTAAACTCATGACCTCACACTTGCCAGGCAGCGTTTATGCCACTGAGCTAAATCCCCAGCTAAATCTTGTTATGTTGTGCATATTTCTAAGTTGGCTACAGTGAATACATATTTGGGAATATGAAAAACCTCCCCAGTTTTATTGAGAAAGTAATAGATTACAAAAGAATGCAATTGTCATTCAGTTATATTTATACCTGATAAAACAAAAATGGCTAATGATTTGTGTGGCATATCAGGGCCACTCGTGACCACTCTCCGGAGTCAGTCACCCTATAAGACTAATTTCAAAGCCAGCTCTAATGAAGTTTGAGGATGGCACACATGAAGGTAATTCTGGTTTTCCTATCACTAGATCTACAAAAGTATCATATTTTTTGTTTGCTCTAATCTTAATCTCTCCTGTTTCTTAGAGATACCAAATACATTTTTGTTATTCAAAAATGTTATTCATAACAATATCCAATTTGCAGTTATTAATGTCTTTTAGCACCTGTTAGGGTTTGTATCTAAATGTCCCCCTAAGGCCTTTGATGGTTGTAGGTGGGACTTTTCAAAGTGACTGGATCTAGAGCATGTGATGCTGGGACTGATTCATGGTAGAATTCTAGGATTAAGAGTGACCCACACTGGGTGTGAGTGCTACCCTTGCTAAGGACAGGTAGATTGGATACAGGGGACAGAAAGTGGGCTGTTGTTGTGTTTGTTGCTTAATGCTTGCTGATTTTGCTGTCTTTTGCCCACCATAAACTTTTTTGTCTGTGATGCCCCTCTGCCATGCCACCTTACTTTGGAGCCAGCCAATTATGAACTAAAAACTATCATAAACTCTGAGCCAAAATAAACCTGTCCTCCTTTGAGTGTTAGTTATTTTGTCTCAGCAACAAGAAAAGTAACTAAGAAGCACTCTTTGGAATCCTGTGGTTTCCCTTGTGTGTTACGTTATGTGACATTTTATATTAAGTTTCCAGATGTTAAACCTCCATTAAATTTTGGGGGAAGCTTTTTGGTTTTCTAGGGTTACTCTTTCAACATTGACTTTGACACCTTCAAGCATTTGTAATGGGGTAAGGATGACGGTTTAGATTCATAGATTGGTTTATATGTTAATGTTAGTCTGCTCCCCAGAATTTTTTTTTTTTACTTTTCTTTTATTGCAAAACACCATTTATTGATCACTTTTCTAAAAAAACACAACTATGAGAACAGAAAATGTCTAAGTCTCACCAACCCTTGCAGGACAGAAAGATGCCCTAACAAAGTCTGACAGTGGCTCTACCTAACGTCTGGCTTCCTTCTCACTCCACAGCTACATGTTTTGTCCCCTCTGACAATGGGAAAGAAACTGGCTAGAGGATTCACGCACAAGAAGATCACAACAGTTCTAAGCCTATGAATGTCATCCACTTGTACATTCTGGTTTGTGACTGAGACATGGATCAGGTCAGCACTGTCAAACACCTCCGCCCAGCTAAGCATACTCTCATGCTTTGAAGTTACCTTTGGGACTCACTCTGGCTTCTGTTTATCCCAGAGTGCAAACTCTATAAAATCCATGTGCAGTCTCCATCTCTAAGTATACAAGTTTGTTTCAGGATCACGTCACACTGCTGCAGTGTTTCTGATTCTGCAGTGTTTACTAGGTGTCTCTCCATTGGACAGGCAGCTCAAACTGCGACTGAGCAGGGAAACAGGAACAGCGCTCCCACAGCAGACTGGCTCCCATTCAGTGTGCGCGGGGTGCTGTGGTCAGAGTAGAGCTCTGAAAGGTGTGTGCCAGGCCTTAGGAGGTGTCCTGGGACACAGCGGGAGGGTCCTGGCTCTCGGGCTCTGGAGCGGGGGCCGGCACGGCTTCCCTTTTCTTGGCCGCCAGGAACTCGTGGATGGCTTGCTCTATCTGTGGCCTGAAGATGTGGTTTAGCTTTGGGTCCACCACCTGAGAGATGGTCCTGTCCACGCCTCCTTCCAGCATCCCTGACTGCACCATGCTCTGCCTCAGGCTGTTCCGCAGCCGGTTCTTGTTCATCGTCGGGCTCCATTCCTGTTGGTCCAGATGCGTGGACACAAAGTTGTCCACCTTCTGCCTCAGGTTCTGGTAGGCCGGCTTGGTGTCCACGTCGGCCAGGCAGGCCCTGCGGAAGCTGTCGAACAGGCCCTGGCTCTTGAGCTGCTCCACGATGAGCGCGACGAGCTGGGGGTCGCCGGGGGGCAGCGAGGCCGGGTTGACGGGGCCGCCGCTGGCTGGCCCGGCCGCCCCCCCTCCGCCTGCCGCGCCCGGTGCCCCGCCGCCGCCCTCTGCCATGCCAGCGCCCGTCCAACGCCCGACCGGTCGGCCGGCAGGGGGAGCGCTGTGGGCGGCTGCTCCGAGGCTAAGGCCTCGAGGACGCGAAGGCGGTTGGAGGCCCGGGAAGCGGCAGCCACGGTGCTGGCGGGAGTGGGGAGGTGGGGGTGGGCAGGGGCTGGGGGTGAGCTGGGGGGGGGGTGGGTCACCGAGGCAGGACCACCCGCCAGAATAGCTTTTACTTTGCAAAAACCCGACATGTAAGATTTACACCTGTTTATGTGCTGTCACTTGATGGCCTGGTACTTGGATACACCGTGTAATGTTCAGATTGAACATCTCCTGCCCAAACATTTATCCTTATTGTGATGAAAACATTCAGACTTTTTGTGCCTTTGATGAAAACATTCTTTAACTTTTTGAAGTACACAGTATTGTTTTAGGCAGCCACTGGTCCGGCCTCCCCTCTCCCAGTCTCTGGTAACTGACTGTGCTGTCGTCTTAGCAAGGTCAGTGTTGAATCCTGGGGTGAGAGTGCACACTGTCTGTCTTTCTGTGTCTGGACTGTTTCATCGAACTAGTGCCCTCGGTTCGTTCCTGTTGCCTCACCTGGCAGGGTTTCATCCTGCATTAGGGCGTACAGTCCTCCGCCGGGTGTACGCTCCATAGTTTCCTTATTCACTCGTCAGCTGAGGGGCACGTAGGTTGGTTCCATTTCTTGGCTCTCGAGAATAGTGCTGCAAACAACATAGAAACGCAGACATCTTTTTGATACACCGACTTCATTTTCTTTGGAAGCATACCCAGTAGCAGTATTACTGGGTGATATAGTAGTTCTATTTTTAAGTTTTTGAAGACTGCTCATACTGCTTTTAATAATCCTATAATGACTGTACTAATTTACATTCCCACTAACAGTGGGCAAGTGTGCCTTTTTTCATTTTCTTTTCAACACCTTTCTTTTGGTCTTTTTTGGTAATTGCCATGCTAATAGGTACAAGATAATATCTCATTGTAGGTTTGACTTATAGTTCCCTAATGAGTAACAATTTTAAGTGTTTTTCATATAGCTTAGCTATTTATATGTCTTCTTTTGAGAAATGTCTATTTACGTCTGTCATGCATTTTATTTTTTATTTTTTTAAAATTTTAAAAATTTTATTTGAATAAGACAAAGCAAAACAGAACACGGGTAGAAATAGCACATACTTTACAGGAAAAAATAAACAGTAATAAATCACTAGTTGATGTTTATATATTGTCCTTTTACAAATAGTTGTTCAAGATACAAAAGTGGAACATATAAATGGGAATTCAAACAGAGAGACTGCAAATAGTTCTGTTCAACTATCTAACAAAAACTTAGTAATATGGTTATCAATCCTATACAATTAACATGCACACTTTTATCCATATCTTCATTTATGTTGAGATTAAACAAACCAAAGCAGACTAAAAATCACTCTGAGCAAAGAATAATATTTCTGGATTTCACATCATGACACTCCAGAATCAGCACTGGGTACTGCAGTGTCTTTTTTTCCTTCAAAGTATTTGTTCATTTCGTCATGTGTCATAAGGTCAGTTCTCATAAACTGTTTATAGGTTTTACGCAAGCATGAGTCTTAACATGTATTTCTATCCTTTCTATATTAGAGGGAGAAACACAACAAAGCAGGACAGAACAAAATATATTCCTATAGACACCTAAAACTAAAAAGACATATAAAACTGCTGTACAAGGAGTTCTACCACGGTTACTGTGTTGTCTCTTGTTATCATCAACAGAATTGGCTATATCATCAGATATAGTATAGTTAAATATATCTTTACATAACAGTATTAATAGAAATACAACTTTGTAAATAGTATAGAACTACAAAAACAGGTAGTAATCAAACCAGAATGGGTATCATAGTCAATCATTTTCATTGTCATTGCCTAATACTCTCAGACTTGATGCTATCAGTCATAAGAGTTTTGAATAAAATATGATGATAGCAAACAGCAATCAAACAAACCAGATTTAACTAAGATCAGTCATAATAAAACAGTATACGTTATACAGGGATCTAGATTAAGTTAACAGGAAATTAAAGATAATTACTGTACTATATCCTGTTATTTTGGGTATAGCTGTCTGTGCCCTCAGGATCTAGTGCAAGTAGATAAACTGGGACAGAGTAAGTTCTATCTAAGCAGAGTGGTGCGAGTAATATGGGTTTTAATTCCTGATACACTATTAGCAATATCTTCTGCTGTCTTCTTAAAGACTGTTCCTTCCCTTTCACTCCCCCAGGGTGTACTGTGCATTTTTGGGTCTCCCCAACACCCTTGGTTTTATATTGCGGGGGGGGGGACAACCTGCTATTTACCTAAGTGTTTTAGAACTTTCCTACTCCTGGGCTTGATCTCTAGTTGTATTTCTTTACCTATTAAAGCCTGTCTTTCCAACCTATCCGTAAATACTGGTCCAGTTGCCCCTATTACTTTCTGGTTCCCTATCACATAGAGTTCTGTTTTCTCATATTTGATTTTTGGTTCATATACTTCTTTAGCTTAATTATATTTCTTATAAAGAGCATCTTGGTGGACCCTACCTCTTAATACACTCTACCTGTGATTCTTTTTCTCTTTAATTTAGTGTATCTAGGCCATCTATATTAGAAATTACATCCAATCTTCTCTGCCTCATTTCTGTTGTGCTCTTTTTCAGTCATTAGTTGTCTGTCTGTCTTCTTCATTTCACTTTTTGCTCATTCACTGGGGCCTCTGCCACTGTTCCTGAAATCTTCTTGGTACTTTCCTCTCTCTTTAGAATGTCCTGCAGTATTCCCTGTAGAGTTGGATTGATGGTTGCGAATTCCCCCAGTTCTTTTTTATCTTGGAAGCATCTTGTTTCTCCATTAATTTCTAAGGACAATCTTGCAGAGTACATCAATCTGGGCTAGAGGTTATTTTCTTTCAGGGCTTGGAATACTTTGCTCCATGCTCTTGTCGATTTAATAGTTTGTGTCGAGAATCATTGTGCCGTAATTCTGATGGGTTTTCCTTTGTAAGTAATCTGTTTCTTGTCTCTGACAGCTTTTAATATTCTGTTCTGATATTGGATTTCTGGGATCTTGATTTTTTTTCAATTTAAAGAGAAAAACAAAACAAGACAAAGCAAGACAGTAAAAGGCTACAAGTAATACAGAATTTCAAGAGAAAAAATATACAGTAAGAATTCACTAGTAAATAGATTGCATATTGTCATCTCAGAAACAGCTGTCCAGGTTACAAAATTAAAGCATACAAAGTGGACATTAATGCAGTGAGATTGCAGACAGTTCTGTTCAATGATGCAACAAAAATTCAGTAATATGGTTTTCTATCCTTCACTCTTAAATACTCTTGCAGTTGTATCCTTTAGATCACTTTCTTTCCTCCCTGTTTTACACTAACAATCACACATTTTGGGTTCCATTACTCCCACAGTTCTTATAACTTTTTCTTTAAAAAGGAAAAGAAAAAAAATATATAAAACAAGAAACAAGACAAAACAAAACACAACAACAAAAAAAACCCCAATGTGACAAAGCAAAACAGAGTCAGTTAGAACAGGAGGATGGACATAGTATATAGTGCTAAAAGAGATTACTAGGTGATCAACAATGGTTACCATCATGCCTCTTGTTATCCTACAAAGAGGTGCCTATATCAGCTGGTATAAAAGAATTGAACAAGACAGTACAGAATAAGACCAGTAGAACCCACATTGGAGACCTTGCAGGACTTCCAAAGAAGATAATAGTCAAACCACAATGGGCATCATAGAGTATCTGGTTGCCTTCAAAGTGGTTGCCTATACCCTCAAATTTGATACTATTAAACAAAACAGAATATAATAAAACCAGTCAGAACAAGATGTGGAGAACAATACAAGGTTCAAATCAGGTTAATAGGAAAACAAAAAAGTTACTATAATATATCTCGCTATTTTTAATTAGTTTTCCCTTAATTAAAAGATACTAAGAAATAAATTAATTTTTAAAAAAGAAAAAAAAAAAGGGGGGGGAACTGAGATAAAAAAGAGCATATCAATAGTACCAAACAATTTGGTCAGAACAAAGGTCAGAACCAAACAATTTAAGCATCATTGTGTTCCACCACCAGATAGCCTGACATTAATAATAGTTACCATAGTGTCTCTTTTCTTAAAATATTTGAGTCTAACTTCATATACTATAGCATCAAACTTATCAAGACAGTGTGAAACCATTCAAGAGGATGAAAGTATTGCAAGGTATTTAGAGCCAGCTAACAGAAACAGAACTTCGGTTTCTATGTGATCTCTTTGCCTATAAAAATTTTTGCTTATACTATATAAGATACAACATGTTAAAACTAATGGAAACAGATGAACAACAACTTGATGGGGCTTCAAAACAGGATGATATTAAATCAGCACTAGCTATTACACTGTCTTATTTTCTTCAAAATAGCTATTCGTAGTATTGCAGACAATAGTATAAAACAAACGAGATTGAAACCATTCCAATTAATGAGTGAAAACATTATATGGCTTCAAACTAGTGTGACTGGGGACCCTGATTACCATGTACTTTTATGTATTCTTATCATTACTTACACTAGGGAAACAATTCGGTATTTATACATGTGAGTTTGATTTATTTCACTTATGAGTATGGTCTCAAGGTGCGTCCATTTATTTATAAATGTCTTGATGTGATCATTCTTTATATAAAAATACCACAAACTTTTTTTATCCATTCCTCAGTTGATGGACACTTAGATTGTTTCCAAGATCTGGCTATTACAAATTGTGGTGCTATAAACATGGGTGCACATATATTACTGTGGTATGATGCTTTCAGCTCTTCTGGGAATATGCCTAGAAGTGGAATAGCTGGGTCAAATGGGGCTTCCAGTCCCAGCTTTCTGAGAAATCTCCAGACTGACCTCCACAATGGTTGTACTAGGCTACACTCCCACCAACAGTGCAGGAGAGTTCCTTTTTC